AAGCCTAGATTCAAATTGTGTGTCACATGTTCCACATCACGAAATGAAAAATCGTTAAACCGTTCCTCCGTAATTGGGATGAATGCGTTCTTTGAAAAATACACGATTCATAGTTAGAAATGAATTCCTGTGATGTAAGGAATTTGATAAGCTATTTGTCGGTCATCTTCTGGGCTTCTGGAAGCCCAACTCTCGAAGACAGATGACTGTATGGAATGTATACGGTTGCGTCGAACGCTGATCGATCGACTGGAGGAAGTCCGGATATATACCTCCAATATCGACCCTCTAATAAACCTATCGTGTGTCTTTCTCTGTACAAATCATGCAATTATGTCCTAAAACTGATGACAACGCGAAATGGTCTTCAGTAATTGCAGATAGAGTAGGCTCTTTAGACGGACATAGGGTCTAGTGTATAGCTCCATGTGTAGGTAGAACGGATCTCGTGTCGGCTAATTCCGATGCATTTACACTGATGGGCTCGAGACTTACGTGAAAAAAGGATTGATTATCAGGGTATTTTTGTACCTCCTGTGGAAATGAAGCTACTGGATACCTATAGACTCTTGTAACCTCGCGTTACCTGTTCCACTGGGTGTTTGCAAATACAAGATTGATTACATTTGTTTTCAAATTTGGGCGTTGTACTTAAGACAATGTCTGTATCGGATTTGAATTTCAATGGGTTATTTACAGGTCGGTCGGTGTTATATTGAGACAGTCTGACATTTTGGATAATGCTTTCCGCTAATGTCACCATTACAAACAGCTTATACATGTAAGTGTGATGGTTAGCACGGTCGTTCAGCTGATTCACAGATAAATGATGATGGAGCGAGTTTAGTTTTACGCCGCACTCAGCAATATTCCAGCTATATGGCGGCGGTCTGTATATAATCGAGTCTGGACCAGACAATCCAGTGATCGACAGCACGAGAAGCGATCTACGATGACATGTGTCAACCAAGTCAGTGAGCCTGACCACAAGATCCCGTTAGTCGCCTCTTACGTCAAGCATGGGTTACTGAGGACCAAAATTAAGCCAGATCTTCACGGGTGAGTCAATGGTAAATGATGATGGAACTGTGTCCAGTAACGGTCACGGGTAACACGATGTTACTGATGCCAATTACTAGGGATTACTCTGCCCGAGGAGAGAGGGTCTCACTGATAGCTTCTGTACATTAATGGAGCGGCGGGGTAGCCTTGTGGTTAAAGCGCCCGCTTAAGACCCGGGTTCGATTCCCCACATGGGTACAACGTGTAAAGCGCATTTCTGGTGTCCCACGCCGTGATATTGCTGGAATATTGCTAAAAGCGGCGTAAAAGTAAACTCACTCACTCGCTGGAGAGAACATAGCTTTGGTAAACACAGCCCGAGCCAGACAGAGATGCGTCCCGTGGCGTCCTTCTTACAGATACTGCTGCTGGCCGAAAGAGGATTTTACGCTCATGTATGTCTGGAGTATCTAATGTCGCAGTGATGGGTGATACATCAGCATTACGTGATTACAGGAAACGAATTTTCAATTTGCAGATAGCAGGACAACAGTATCATGTGTTCAGCAGCACGCTGTGTTGGGGAGTCCCTCTGTCACCGTCAGCAGTCGTGCATCTATACATCACAATATGGCGTTTTACATGTTTCACTAATGGACCAAACAAGAAGCACTTGTGCAAGAGCTACCCTCAAGGCCCATTTGTGTAAAGACAACTTAGACCAGAAATGTCAATTATTTGATTTTCTTTAAATTTGGTAGTTTAAGGTCCTATCAGTAAAACGCCAGCCCTAATGAGATTCTGTAAAATCGAGCCTGGGGAGGACAATCTAGTGATTGGCATCAAGAGCATCGACCCATCCTAATTGGATGCCAGGACACGCATTAATCTGGAATTGCAACCTACGGTCGCCTGGGAAACACACGTCTTTACAGTGAATTACACGGCTGAGATTTCGCGGCCAAATCAGCTTCTTTTAATTTCCAGTGAGTGAGTTGGGTTCAACGGCACTTTCCACAGTATTCGATTTACTTTACCGCGTGTTACCTTAAATGTGGGAGAAAAGGTCGACATGATACAGGTATCGCGCTTCTGATAAGCCTAGAAACATACTCGGGTCGAAACGGGATTCGAACTCGTAAACTTAACGAGTTCAAGGGACGCAACTCTGCACAACGAGTTTTGGCGCCTGGACGAATCTGCCACCCGTACTGCGTTCAATAGACACCTGTTTGGGTGGTTTAAAGGTGGTAGCACAGGACATGTGGTACCAATGTTTTTTGTAATAAAGCAAAATCAATGGTTTATGATTTAAGTGATAATTCACATTTATTCGTTTCATTTGCACGACCTGCACTATTTAATTCACTAGGTACTGGTCCCAATGTATATAATTAAGCTTGTCATTCATCCATTATCATGGAGGGGCGGAGGGGTAGTCCAGTAGTTAAAGCGTTCGCTCGTCACGCCGAAGACCCGGGTTTCTTTTATTGGTAAAAGCGACGTAAAACACAACTCACTCACTATTGTCGTGGAAAGTCAAGATTACAATATAAATTCATCGATTGTTCGATAATTCGTTGCAAAACTATTACGATTCATCGTTTTGTTCTAGACGTATAAGTTCTTTCAGTCCTTAGTGTTTGAACAGTGTTTCCTGGACCTTGTTCCTCAAAGCGATCGTAGCGCTACGACAGTCGTAAGTCTATGTTAAAGTATGCGACCTACGATCACATCAGCGCTACGATCGCTTTGAGGAACGGGACCCAGGAGTGTCATGACACATATCTCGCTATGGTTACTAAACATGCTTGGTGTTGTTTCTGAAACAGCACATTTGCATAACTGAGCTGTTTACCTAAACTTGTAAACCACCGTTGCTGACAGTATGTCCACTTTTCAAAACCAATTTCACCCGTCCGCTAAAACGGGTATGCATAGACGAAAAGAGACACCCGTTTAAAATTCCGTTTACGTTTGTTAGGCTAATGGTGTACTTACGTCCGATACGATCTTTACGTGCTGTGGTAGTGTGGAGGGTGGTTACCAAACACTTGACATCTAACACTTAAATGCTTGCCAAATAAGGAAATGACACGTAAATGGACCTAGGAGGTAGACCTAGTTTACATATACACCCGCAATTGTGTCCCCGGAGGAAACATTGTGCCTGGGTCATACACTTGTCATAGGGGATTTATCAATATTGTTATAGTCCGTTTGGTTTCATTTGAGACCGATGAATTAATTGCTCACCAACACAAAAATCTAATAATTACAACAAAATGATCATTATTTTGTTGTCACTTATCGCTATCTTTTAACCGCCTCCGTGGTGTAGTGGTTAGAGCGTCCGCTCAGGGAGCGGAAGGTCGCGGGTTCGATCCCCGACCGCGTCATACCAAAAGACGTTAAAATATGGTACTTGTTTGTCCCTGCCTGGCGCTCGGGATTAATGGGTACAACAAGGACTGGTCGGCTCGGAGTCAGTATGATGTGTCTGTGTGGGGTATTCATGCTTCCCTGCGGCGTGGTATCTCAGTGGGCTATCACTATAAAACCAGCTTAAGTCTGGGCTAGTACAAGCAGCCGCAGATACACATACACACACATGCACGTCGTTATATGAGAGAAATATTCTCAAGCACGACGTAAAACCAAATTTCACCTCACCTCACCCATCGCTATCTTTTACGAAGGGGCCACTTTCTGGTAGAGCAGCTAGGTGTGCGAGTTGCACATATGAAATTTAAATTTCAATACAGGCGCTGTTGATGGCCTGGCTGTTCTACCAGCAAGTGGTCCCCCATCGTAAGAAATAGCGGTAAGTGACAACAAAATAATGATCGTTTGTTAAACAACTTTTTCATTCGGGTGTCCAAAATTATGAGACAAATTATCAGAGTTGGTCTGTGTTGATTTCATGTGACTGTGCAAAATTTAGTTTTGTTGCAATTATTAGATTGTGTGTTAGTGAGCAACCCTTGCATGGGTTACTGAAGATCATGGGTTACTGAAGATCAATTTTAACCCGGACCTTCACGGGTTGAGTATGGTTTAACGTCGCTTGAGCAACATTTCCAAATTTTCGCTTAATTCCAGCAATATCACGACGGGGAACACCAGGAATGGGCTTTTAAGAAACGAATCAGAGGTGGGCAGGTGTATTGCATGTCTAATCCACTGTTCCATGGTGCCAACAGTAAACAGTGGTTTGTTTAGATGCTCGAGTGGTATTCTCTACTACGGTGGGACGTCGCTGTTTTGTTCATAAAGGTCATAAGTGATTTCCGGTGTTGTTCGGGAACCCCCTGCGATGCAAAATAGACCCCAGGACCTCATTATCTGGCTCGCCGTAACATTTGCTGTGATATTTGAACATACGGATTTCTCAAGCGGAGTAAAACATCATGCACTCACTCTTTGCTAAGGAGAGTGAGCGAGTGAATGAGTTGGTGGGTGGATGGGTGAGTGAGTGAGTGGGTTGGGTTTAATGCCGTTTCCAACACTTGATATTTCTGTTGTATCAAGAGCCTTCACCTTAATGCTGGCGAGAAGTCCCACGTGATGCCAATCTTTACCTTTTAGTTAAACCCATAAGGATGTCGGTTTTGATCGTCAGTCAATCAATTGAGTCATAATCACAACATAGACTTACGACAGTCGTAGCGCTACGATCGCTTCGTGAAGGCGTTTCACAAAACTCTCGTAAGCCTAAGACCTCGTAACTTTTCTCGTAGCATTCGTATCTCCTATACTGTAACATGTTGACTTACGATAGTCGTAGCGCTACGATCGCTTTGTGAAGGCGTTTCACGAAGCTCTCGTAAGCCTAAGATCTCGTAACTTTTCTCGTAGCATTCGTATCTCCTATACTGTAACATGTTGACTTACGACAGTCGTAGCGCTACGATAGCTTTGTGAAACGGTATACCTGGTATACAGGTGTAACGTAACTTGTGAACTAGCCTCCAAGTAGACGGTGACTATTTTCTTACCTGCAGAAGGCGCGCAGTGTTTCCACGTCTACACCGCAGCACATCTTCCGCTGCGAGTTCTGCATATTCTGATACTGGCTGCTATAGGCCGTGAAGCAGCTATAAGCCTGTGACTTGACATCCTGGGGACAATCTCCCTTCACCCCACATACCACTGAAACAAACAAAACCATCAATAAATAGACAGCTCATAGACACGTCAGTGTTCTAAGGATTAATGATTCAGTGATTGCATGTGTAATTCACATGTCCGTCAATAATAAAGCATCAAACTTGATGAATAACAACTTCTTTTTTATTGCACGGAGCGACGTTTCATTGCAGAATCTAACACCGTTTTAAGCTAAAAACTAAAAACATTTTAAGCTTGAGTGAGTGAGTGAGTGAGTGAGTGTGGTTTTACGCCGTTTTTAGCAATATTCCAGCAATATCACGGCGGGGGACACCGGAAATGGGCTTCACACTCTGTACCCATGTGGGGAATCGAACCCGGGTCTTCAGCGTGACGAGCGGACGCTTTAACCATTAGGCTACCCCACCGCCGCTTTTAAGCTTGAAAATGGTGCAAGAATTTACACTGAAATATCGTTCATAAAGTCCATAAAGTCGTATGCTATATTATTGACTCACCACCTTCTAGAATGCCGATCAAATAACCATATATTCGTCATTACTTTAAAAAAACGGTTGATTGGTTAGAGGTTTCAAATGTCAATAATATGATTTTGATTAAATCACCTCTGAGGAATCCATATCGAAATGACATATATACAGGTAGTATCAATGTACAGAAAATCACTGAACATGCATTATATCACATTTGACACTATCATAAAAACATGAATTAATGTTCCATTAGATACATGTGACCTTTGGGATTTGTAACACGCACGTGACCTTGACCTGTGTGTCAAGATCAAGGGTACGTTGACGCAAACGCTGAATCCAGCAAACGGAGCAAAATTAATAAACTCGTAAAAGTGAGAATGGATGAGACAGAGGGTCCGGCATAAGAATCTCATTCCGATAGATCGATTGACCTTCAGAAAGACACGCTGTCACCGCTGACACGTTCTTCTCGTTAACTCACGCGAGAACAGGCGAAAATGTTTTAGCTGTAATTTAAACAAAAATATTTACGACCTTTGATGTAGGAAAAACAGAAAGAGGTGTACGCTTGCCAATTTTCCCCGCCGACTGTTTACTGTGTGAGAAAGTTGAAAGCACCATCTTTTGATGTTGTCCGAAAAGCACTGTTAAACTTATAGTTGAATTATTCTCGCGGGTACTATTCTTCCAAACAACTGCACACTCGCTTGTACGTTTTCCACTATCTACACCCTGTCTCTTGAAATATTCATTGGAAGGCCCCTCAAAAGCGAGTCTCAGGCCTAATTGATATGCATGATCGTTCCAGTCTCACTAAAGTCTCTTTGATATCTCCGTAAGTCCGGCGGCGGAACGAGTGTCTGGCAAAAGTTCGCGCTTGGCGTTGAAATGGTGCGGAAGCGTATTGAAATGCCTTGTGAACCGTCTCGTCATTAAGAACACCGGTTAAAAACAAAGTCAACATGATTTAGCGTGGAGTGTCACTGGGAGCGCGACGTAAGCCTGGCGTCAGTATTTTTACTCTATTCCTCTGCTTGCTGATTACTAGCTTATCGAGTGAGTGAGTTAGTGAGTGAGTTTAGTTTTACTCAGCAATACTCCGGCTATATGGCGGCGTGAGAATAATCGAACCTGGACCAGACAATCCAGTGATCAACGTCATGATCATCGATCTACGGGCGCAATTGGGATACGATGACATGTGCCAACCAAGTAAGCGAGCCTGACAACCAGGTCCCGTTAGTCGCCTCTTACGACAATCATGGGTTACTGAAGATCAGTTGTATCCCGGATCTTCACGGGTAGGCTTATCGAAAATAATATTCATGATAAAAACGCAGGTGTCACTTTAATCTTGTAATAATTCCCAAGACATCAGTAAAATGTCGCAACATCAATGCTACATTTCAGATTACGAGCAAGTTCATTTCGATACTTTCAGTTGATGTAAAATCTTCACATATATTGGCGATTTCGCGACATAAAAGACATCGGAGGTCACCAGTACATGTTGTTATTGTCTTGAAACATTAAAAACATGTATAAACGTTTCAATATCATCAAACGGAACTCGTCGCTTCACTGTTCCAAGTGACCTCCCTTTGACGCCGATAGAGGGCGTTGGAGGAGTTACAGGGTGCAACAGAGGCACTATATCTGTCAGATCACATCCACGTCAAGACGGAACATGTCAAACTGGAAAGCCAGTTAAATCAATACGCTGTATTTTTTTCAACAAGAATGTGATGCCTCTGCCCTTAACACTTCAGTAAACACGGCAGAATGGGAACCAAGAGGCAATGAAGGTAGATCTTGCTTACCAGGTGTCGAGCCGAGAGATAGAGCGAATCATCAGATGTTTATGTGAATGAAATACACCAGGTGTAAAAACAGATACAGGGAGAACAAAAGTGTGATGTATGTACTCGATAAGGGCCGGAATGCCCGGTGATGTGACCCTAATCGTGTTTATTTTACCCTACTGTGTTTGAAGATGGTTGTGTAAGGTGGAAGGGAACATGGCACCTTATGTTATTATCTGTCCGCCATCTTGGTAAGAATCAGATTGCGCTAGCAGACTACAATGTGTTTAACCCGTCAGCCACGTCGAAAAGACATCAGATCGACGAGGCTCGGTCTATGATCTGGTAGTTGAGGGTAAATGGTTTATAATCATGGGTTGAAATGTTGATAATTACTGTAATAAATCTGTCATTGTCTTTAACACGAACACCGACTTTCAACGCTGACGTGGATTCTCAATACAAGTATGGAGTAACAGACGAACGTTCGAGAATTAAGACACAAAAACCTCCACTGACGACAGAGTCTCTGTCTCAAACTACCGTTAACTCGACATGTATTCGACGTTTGTTGTTTAAACACCGCACTCCGCAATATTCCAGCTATACTGCGGCGGTCTGTAAATAATCGATTCTGGACCAGACAATCCAGTGATCATCATCATAAGCATCGATCTACGCAAATGGGATACGATGACGTGTCAACCAAGTCAGCGAGCCAAACCACCCGACCCATTTGTCGCCTCGATGTATTCAATGCTGGCCACAAACTGTACAGCATCTAAAGGATCCATTGTCTTTGTGTACTATTGTCTACCTGTCCCAGGTACTAGAGATAAAATTAAATCCGTATCCAACTCACGCCTATGTTGATTTGGCAAGTCACATTGTTCAGGGCAAAATTATATTTGACTCTCTAGTTTGTAGATACATATTTGAAACTCCAACAACTTTGTTTCTTGGACTAAATGTTAGTTACAAAGGGTTTTTACTTGCCGGACTGCCAACTTGTCGGAGCCTTGTCCTCCTTTAAGTGAACATCAAATGACGATATTTGGTTACTTGTCGTTTAGTGAAAACCGACGAGAAATTCATCATGATCAAGAAAACCAGCACTCTGTCAATTGGAATTACAGACTCTTCTTTCATGTAATCTTTGATGCTATTTACACAGCTAAAAGGGTGTTTTTCCCATGCTGCAAAGTAGCTATTTTCCCCATTTGGATCACCTTATGGTGCCACAAAAGACAGATACATCACATTCCAAACACACGTCAAAACAAGGAGGTGGAACTTATTTCAGTCCATGAACTAACACAGCACCGTGGCCTCTGCCCCAAGGTGTGGCGCCGCTGATTGAAAAAACTCCCACTTCTATTGAACCGGAACTACATTTCATGTTCTTCCGCATTCACAGTCACGGAGCAAATTCCAGGTCACGCGTCATTGGCTTGTTTTATACCTGATACACCAATGCAAATCTTTGACAAATATACCATTCTCGCTGGAAAAGCCGCAAAATAAATCACTGGGCAAGTACGGAGCACGGTAGGGGAAAAGAAAATATTATGAAAGCTCGTTTGCTGGGGTCGTAAACTGAAAATAAAAACCGCAGGCTTTTGCTGAAGATGAAGTCGGTTTTCACGTGGCCCGTCTAAATGCTCCAGAGAATTGGAATCGGTTACCAATGTAGTTTTTCATGAAAAGGGGGTCGTTTTACAGTATTTAGACTTCCTTTGCTAATAGAGCATGTTCGAACAACGATACATGCAAGGTTTAGATGAAACAGATCGCTCGCTCAGCGCTCGTCATCGCACGTGCTAAACGTGATGCTCGTTGTGAAGAATTGCCTCGTTAAACTCGACCCAAACCCAGATGGGATATGATAAAATATGCAATGTGATCTGAAATGGGTTGATGATAAGGCTGCGGAGTAACGGACACACCGCGTGTTTTTCTTTCTGCTTGATTAGCCGAAGCTCTGGAGAAATGGGACGTAAAGACGCGAGCATCAAAAGTGAATCAAGAATCGCAATCTAGTTTCAACACATCCGGTCTCTTCAGAGCATTCATGAACGTTCGACAAGGGTGGCACAAATTAAAACTTCGCGTAATGACTGGGTCGGTGAACTGCAAGTATAGGCGGGATGACAAAATTATCACTGCCCCCAAACATGTACATGTCACCGTGGGGTCTTCTTACGTAAGTTGATTTCGCATGCTACGTTACTCATTCACGGGGCGGTGGGGAAGCCTTGTGGTTAAAGCGTTCGCTCGTCACGCCGAAGACCCAGGTTCGATTCCCCACATGGGTACAATGTGTGAAGCCCAATTCTGGTGTCCTCCGCCGTAATATTGCTGGAATATTGCTAAAAGCGGCGTAAAACCATACTCACTCACACAGTACTCATTCACGGGCATTGAACGGAGGCATAGAATGCATAACTGTGAATGTCATTCAATAATTGAAGCATTTCCGTACTAATAAAAATACACTGTTATTAAAAAGCGACATTGAAGTAAATTTTCTTACCTATTTTATCAACTCCAGAAAATACACGTTCACATGGTGAGGCGAAGTACGGTTATCATTAATTACCGGTGTAAGTTTGTGCCAGACAAACATGTAGTTGTGCCAGATCAACACTTAAAGTATTCCTTATTTATTAAATTCATATGTCCAGATCAATGCTGAATCATTCTAGACTTGAGTTACATTTTTTAAAGTTGTGCCCCTTGGCTG